CTCAACTGAAGCAGGACCACTGCTTAGGAGGATCTTCCAAAAATTTGAGTTGACTTTTTGATTGTTATAGTATTCAAGGGGGAGTACTGCTGGCATTTAGTGGATGGGAGCCAGGAAAGGTAGATGTTTGCAATATCTCGGACAGTTCTGTACAACCAAGAATTGTCTCACTTCCTGCTTGACTTTCCCATGTCCCCTCATGTAGGTGACAACTCATGTTTAAGTATTTGAATCTAGAACTTCTGTTTTAAAATTACAAATGTTATTTTTGCATGGTTTCAATGACTACCAAGGGAGTTTGAAGAAAGAATGTACTTTTTTGTTAGAATTCACTAAAATTTGTTCCCTTAGGAAAATCATTTTATTGACAACACACTTGTATGATTTAAGTCTCCTATGCAATACTGCAGTTATAGCTGTTACATTCAGTGATTCTATCTATAGGTGCATGTACCTGGCTTAATTCACTGTCTTTTGGTTTAGTCACTTGTGAGCATTTGCATATTGATGTGCATACTATTTAATTATAAACTATTTTCTATTTCTCATTTATATTACGTGAGGACATGTTATTGATATTTTAAAAGAAATTATGTACATGGGTGAGTTATCTGTATTATTTCCAAGATTATAAAAGGAGCATGGCAAAATATTTATTATAAAAAGGATGCATTGAGTATGATGTGGTTGGAGAAGGACTGGCCTACAAATCTGAAGTTATGGCACTATTTTTTTTAAAGATTTTTAAAATTAATTTATTTTTTTAGAGAGAGCACGTGAGTGGTGGGAGGGGTAGAAGGACAGGGAAAGAATCTCAAGCAGACTCCCCACCAGGCACGGAGCCTGATGCAGGGCTCAATCTCACGACCCCAAGATCATGACCTAAGCTGAAATCAAGAGTTGGACACTTAACCAAATGAGCCACCCCAGGCGCCCCAACAGATCTGTGATGTTATGACACTATTAATCACCTTATATGACAAGCCCTTGACATTTGTGGGGAAATAGTTTAGAGTAGATCTACCCAGGAGCAACAAAATGTGAGTCATGTCTAATGTCAAATTTTCCAGTAGCCATAGTTAAGAGAATAAAAAGAGTCAAGTGAAATTAATTTTAAGAATATATATTTAACTATAACTATTATTTCGGATATGATCAATATAAAATTATTGAAATTTTTACTTTTTTTTTTGCATGCTGTCTTTAAAATCTGATGTGTATTTTGTACTTATAACATGTCTCAGTTCAGGTAAGCCACATTTAAGTGTTCAGTGGACACGAGTGGCTAGTGGCCGCGATACTGGACAGCACATTCTGAGAGGTGCCATGAATAGAGAAATTTCAAGAAAGGAAGTAAAATGTGAGCAGTCCCTTAGTTTATTAACAGACAAAATGCTGTTGCTGCACATCTCCATTTCCTCTTTTTTTTTTTTTTCCCTGTCAAATTCCTCCAGTGGAGGTGTGGCAAGATGGGGACTTGATGGAGAAGATAAAACTAGATACCCTTGACTGAGGTGACTTGGTTGAACCGGACCTTGCAGCTATTAGCTGGAAGATTTGTCATTCCAGCTCAAGCACAGATGATCTGCAATACAACTTCTGTGACAGAGTCTGCATAGAGAGATGAAGCAGCAACTTCATAATCACAGCCACCTGCTGCAGCTTAAAACTACAGAACAAAGGAAGAGCATTCTTCCCTTGACAATTAAATCTTGGTCCCTTTCTCCTTTGTCCCCAGGCAACAGATCGCTCCCAACCTGATACTTGTCCTCTCCTGCCAAGTATAAAGTTTTTCTTTTCAAATGACAAAGATTCCAAAATTACCTGTGTCCTTTCCTTTCCTACCATATGTGTCCAACATCCTGCTGATCCTCATGTAGCTGATATCCATGTTGTTTCCCACTATTAACAAGTTCATTCCTAATTTATCCTCTAGCAGGCAGTACTACAGCTTTTTAGCCTAGTGGTTAAAACTTGAGCCTTAGACAGCAACAAGCCTAAGTTCAAGCCCTGTTTATGCCACTGAAAAACTGTGACCTTGAGAAGTAAATAAAACTCTGAGGGACACCTGCGTGGCTCAGCAGGTTAAGCGTCTGACTCTTGATTTTTGGCTCAGGTCATGATCTTGGGATTGTGCAGTCGGGCTCACATGCTGGGCATGGAGCCTGCTTAGGATTCTCTCTCTCTCCCTTGCCCTCTGCCCCTCCCTGCCATCTCTTAACTGAAGCTCTTCTTTTTTTAACCTATAAAATTTGGGTGAAAATAATATCTACCTTATAGAATTATTGCAAGACTCAAATGAGATGGATGTCATACATTTAGCATAGAACTTGACACACTGTGAGTAATTAATACATTGAAGCTCTTATTGTATATTTCCTTGTTCTATAATTTCTTCCCTGCTCCTGACCACCTGGTCCAAGTTCTAGTCATTTTTCAGTCTTTGCCAGCTTTTACCTCTTCTCTATGGCTTCTGTAAATTTTAAAGATTATTTATTTATTTATTTATTCATTTATTATTTGAGAGAGAGCATGAGTGTGCATGGGCATGAGGAGGGGCAAAAGGAGAGGGGAGAGAGAGAGAGAATCTCAAGTAGACTCCATGTTGAGCGTGGAGCCTGACTTGAGGTTCAATTTCACCACCCTAGATCATGACCTGAGCAAAATTCGAGTCAGATGCTTAACCAACTGAGCCACTCAAGTGTCTGCTTCTGCAAATTTTGTTGTCTCCTTTTCATGTTTTTCTTGAGAAGTCTGATATAAACTATAATGGTATTGACTTCTAGTACAGGACACATAGTGGTTGCTTAGTAAATTCTTTTGTTAATTGATTGATGAAAAAGGGAAAGAAAACTATAGTAGATTCTGCTAATGTCCTACCCCACATCCCCTCAGTTCTTCTGGGTTTGCTTGCAGCTGTGGTAGACTGTTTTAGCATGCCCCCCAACAAGCATGTTCTATGTGGTTCCTCAGAAGGTCCTCAGCAGAATGGAGTCACCACTGCCCCCAACAGTATCCCACTTGTTAACATGCCTTTTGTTGGCTTTGCTTCCTTCCCTTCTCGTTCCCACCTAAGCTTCCTAGAATTATCTCCTAAATTAATCTACCCATAGCAAAGTCCTTGTCTCAGGGACTTGTGTTGGGGAAACCTAAATAAGACAGGAACTAACATTACCAAGTCCATGTTGCATGCAAAGCACCATGTTAGGCATTCTACTTTATTGTCTTTTTTCATATTCTCAACATTCTTATGGGGTTTGGTATTATACCCATTTTATAGTAACAGATTAGAAAGCCAAAGCTAAAACAATTAAATGACTTGTTCAGGGTCATAAATATATTAAGACGCCAACCTAGCAATCTAAATGCTTCTTTACATGCCATTTCTGAGTTAATATTTGTATGGAAAGGAATAAAATATTTCAGGGTGGGACGCCTGGGTGGCTCAGTCGGTTAAGCGGCTGCCTTCGGCCCAGGTCATGATGCCAGGGTCCTGGGATCGAGTCCCACATCAGGCTCCTTGCTCAGCAGGGAGCCTGCTTCTCCCTCTCTCTCCCTCTGCTTGTGCTCTGTCAAATAAATAAAATCTTTAAAAAAAAAAATTTTCAGGGTAAAAAAAAATATTGCAGGAATTAGGTAAAAGTGGACCTCTTAGTTTTAGCCTAAATGTGACCCCCCCAAAAAGATATAAAAGCAGAATATAATGGAATAGTATCCAGAGACATTGTCCACTGAACGCTTAGATGACATTTAAATGCTTTCTTTACAGTCCACTATCTTTATTCTGGGAAATAAAGACAAGAAGATAAGGCAGCCTGAATGAGTCAGATTTTATACGACTGTATTAGAAGATGAAACCTATTTGGCTTCTATGACATTGAACAAAGAATGAGACAAAGGAGACTTTTCTGGGTACTTAGATACTAAAAGGAAAGACTTGGATGGATGAGAAAAATTACTGAGAAAAATTTCTCTTCCATATTAAAATTCTCATTCAGAATTGATTTTTTTTTTATCTTCCCAAGTCACACAGGGCATGTACATAAGGGTGATTGAATTATTACATGAACTGTCAAATCCAATAAATGTGGGGTAAGGAGATAGCTGGGCAACCGTTAAAGGAAGCAAAGGACAAAGAGATAGGTTTTCCATATGCAGAGGCAAGCATTATCAGATGGCCAATGCATTTTCTAGATTTTTAGGAACTATATTAAACTGAAAAATAAACTTTCAGTTAGAATTGGGGATATTATTTAGCTAATGCTTGTTACTTTCTGTCATTCTATATTCTAGCTGTCAGTCAAGTTTATAATTCTTGGAAAATAAAGGTGATAAGTTTATATAAGGTAAAGCCCTGCATTTCCTGAGAAAACAGTATCAAGTCTTCAGTTTGCATGAAGTTTGAGAACACTCGAAATTTATACTAAGCTTTGAGATTATCCAACAAAATGTACAGCAAGGCTTTATTATATATTGCCACTAAAGTTTCTGATGTTTGCCTTTCATAATGGCATATGAAGTCATAAAGAACTAGTCAATGTGAATTGGGTATTACAGTTTCATTCAGTTGAATTTTTAAATGGTTTTCACTTATGTATAACCCAAAAGAATTACATCATAATATTTACTGTAAATTTATTAGCTCTGCTATGAAGTCATTTAGTTTTAAGCCCTGGAGAAAAGTGACTTCTAGCCAACCAAGCATTTACAGTGTGCCCTCTAATTCACATTCTAATAAATGTCATTTTCTAAGTGCATTACCTCAGGTTTTGGCTACAACCCAGATGAGTCCTGAGAGATTAAAAGAAATGTGTTTTCTGACTGATTCATCCATATTTTATTTTACTTTTCATTAAGAAATTACTTTGAAGAAAATCAATAATCTCCTGTGACTGAGGGGAGAGGTTAATGTGTTGCCGTGGTGCATTCTAATTTCTCAAATCAGACTGCTTTTAGTCAGCTGTCACTGATAGAGTTTTTGTCCTTTCTTGTTCTTGCAGCCTGGGTACATGGAGACCCCAGGAGAGTGGCCTACCCTACAGACAGCAAGGGCCACTTTTGTGGCCAGAAGGGCACCCCCAATGAGTGAGTATGGCTACCTTTCCTTTGTCTGATTTTTGCCGTCTAAGCTGGAACCTAGAAACTGTAACCGAACCAGCATGAGTTCGCTTCTTGGTGAGTCACAGGTAGAAACTACACCACGTGAGTTGTCACACAAGGGAAACTTTATTTGCACCAAATAAGTTGATCACAGGAAATAACTTCCAAAGTTGTGACTCCCTGAGCAAGGGTGAATGGGTTCCTTTTATTTAAGGTTAGAATGAATATTTAGATGGGAAAGCCTTGTCGTCTTATGCAGAGGTAGGTATAAGGTCATGCACGCACCTTAAAGAAACATGCCTATAGAAATATATAGACATATATATAGATATGGAATGTATGATATGTAAATGAGGCTTGTGCTCCATCTTGGGCAGAGATTTTAGCATTATGATGTGGTAAAGGAAATTAATTGTTGGTCATTCCAGAGGTCACTCCATGGTCCATTTGTGCAGAAGTGAGTCGGGGGGGTTAGCTCAAACAGGTTTGGTGGTCTGGGCCACCAGAACTTCCTCAGGCAGTCATCATTGCTTGAGGGGTAGTTTCAGTGTCCATCATGGGATGTTATGCCCATAAGGTCCTTTGCCTAAGTTAAGAGATAAGTTGGGAAGAAGAGCTTAAGGAAAATGTGGGACAAAGGTTGGTGGGTACAAGCAGGTGAGCCATAATGGCCAGGTCTCAGGGTCTAGCTGGTAACAAAATCATTTTTACATTAATCCTACTAGACTTCGTAAGAAGATTGAAATTCAGAAAGGAGGTTTTTCCCTCCCATTTATCCTAGAGACCGTCTATAAGCAATTGGGAAATTTCATACTATATGATTTAGGACAAGTTGTCATTGTTATGCAGCATTTTATTAGACTCTGCTTAGTAAAAGTATAATTATAGTGGATGAATTGGACGAGTGATTTTATCAGAAGCCATATTTTAAAATGCCTTCTGAAATGGGCTTTTGGAAGGCTGAGTTCTGAGTAGCTAAACGTTGCAGTTAGAATTGTTTTTGCCACAGTGCCTACTGACAAATCACTTCACTTTTGAAAGTGTATGCCACCCAGAAATCTTCAGTGAGTGGTAGGCTTTTCAAAGCTACTTGGTTGCTATAGACCATGGCTCTGATTAGCTGAAACAAGGGAGAATGGTCTATCAGATTCCTTTCTAATGTTAATCATAACAAAAGTTTCCAATTTCCAAAGGCAATTTTTCTGTTTCTTTACCTTAAAAAAAAAAACATAAATTTCACATTTTTAGAAAATTTCCTCTCTTTTCTCACTGGTCCGTTTCTTTTCTGGCAATACCTGGGTTTTTACTAGATCTCCTGGTTCTTCATAACCAATTCAGTTTCTATAAAAGTTGGCATTGAATGGGTAAAAAACAAAAACAACAGCAGCCCTCACTACTACCAAAAACAACAAAAAAATAAGGTTCAGAACAATTTTGTGTGTGTGTTTTTATGTGAACATTTGTTGTGTTCAGTATGTTGCCCACCCATAACTTTGGAGCTTATTATTCCAAGAGATACAAATTTAAAAAATAGATTGAGGAAAGGGTTAATAAAGTTCATGGAGTAGAATTATTACAGGTGATCAAGACAAACTAGAAATTTAGACAGCGGGGTGCGTGAGGATCAAATCCTTAATCATATCAGATTGAGTTTATGACAGACGAATGGACTCCTACAAAAGGTCCTTGTAGCCCATTGGAAACTGGACTAAGTCTTCATCTAGAATGGTAATTCTTATTTTAACCTCAGTAACTCAGAAAACCCTAGACATTGCCAACAAAACTTTTACACTATGAAGGACAAAGAAAACACCAGGTGGTGTAAAAAAAAAAAAATCATACAAATGTCTAAATCTCTAGTTCTTAAAATAGGCTATTTTTAAAAGGGCCTCTGTAACAGTAAGTTTTCTAGACCTAAGCCAATGACCTACTTATCTCCAACAAAAATGGGATACTACAAATTGCAGTACCTAAAGATCATTCAAAGACAATCCTAGTGTAACACAGACTTGTTCATTAATGTATTATTTATAATAACAATATATTGGAAGCTATACAGATATCCAATAATATGTGGATGATGGTAAATTATGATGTCTCTAATGTAATGGAGCCATTAAAACTTATGTTTATATTTTCAAGAGGTGATTCTGTTGACTTTTCCTTTATAGTTTCTGGATTTTGTGTCATGATTGTAATTGCTTTCCTACTCTTGAAAAACATTCACCTGTATTTTTCTAATATTTTTATGGTTCCCCTTTTTACCTTTAAATTTCTAATCTACTTGGAATTTCTTTTTTTTATATGGACTGAAGTAGGAATCAAAATTTTTTTCCAACTGCAGATGCAAATATCTCAGAATAGTTGGTTGAATAATATGCTCTTTTCCCCACTGATTTTTGATAACATCATTATCATGTAATAATTACATAATATATAATTTATATTTTTAAGCTTCTCAATTGTTTTAATTCTTATAATTGTGTATTAATTTGAAAATTTAACAAGGAAGTTTAAATGATGGTTAGAGTTTTTAATAGTAAGTGAAAATATTTATGAGAATATCAGATTTCAGTCACTTAAACAGTGTGGAACTATCATAGAAATAGGCAGAGAGAAGTAAATACAAGTAAATACAATACAATTGGAATGTGATAAAGGTGGGATTCCGAATCAGTAACAAAAATATGAATTATTAAATGGTACTGAATTAACTGAAATGCTATTCATGAATATAAAATTAGATATTTATCTCCTACCTTACACCAAAATGAATACTGAAACACTGAAGATTTTGTATATAAAATACACAATAAAAAAAGTAACAGAAGAAAATGCAGAGGTATATTTATAGAATTATGGGGTAAAGAAGTCTTTATTTGAAAATATATTGCCACTATATTACCATTTAACTCACTGTATACAAAGTTAAAAGATAAGTGGCAATCCAGAAAAAAATATTTTCAACATATGTATCTGACAGTGGGTCAATAGCTTTATTATATGAACTGCTGTTACAAAATTAAAGAGGAAAAGAATAATTCAGTATCAAAGTTGACAAAAGTCATAAACAGAAAATAACATAATGGTCAATAATCATACAAGGCATTGTTCAACCATAGGTAAAGAAATGCAAATTAATATGCTTTTTTGCTTATTAGGTTGAAAATTGAAAACAGTAAAATTTTACAGTGTTAAAAGCATCTCCTTTTCTACTTTGGTAATGAAATGTAATATTTATCAAAACTGTGGTATCTAAATGTGGTGTGTCTCCCGATCGGATGGGGGGGCCCCCAAATGTGGGGTGGTTCTTGGGTGGAAGCCAGTGGTGCCCGTGGTGACAAGAATTCACCTGAGGCAGAACAAAGGAGATAGAAGTTTACTGAATACACCTCAAGGGAGCTGCAGGCCAGACAGTAGAGGAGAGGTGATCTGCATGGAGGTAGTGGGTGGGGGGCTGTTTTTAAAGGGGGAAGGTGAGGAGGTGTGGCAACATGCGGAATTTCCCATTTGGTAACTGTGCCTGGTTGTAAGTAGCCCATCGGTTAGAGGTCCTATGGAACTTTTGAGGTGGGTCCGCTGATGGGCCTGTCTGTATTCATTCAGCCAGGGTCACTTTGGGCCCTTCTGCCTTGACCAAGTTTCCATTGCTCAAGCCTGTTGTCTAAAAGTGGCTTCTATGAAATACTTTTCAAATTTGTATATTCTTTCTGATTCAGCAGTTTTCCTCCTAGAAACGTACCTAGTGGAAATTTGCATAAAATTTCCTGATGTTATAGTGATACAGGTACTATGAAATAGTAGTAATTAAATGGAAATATCCTATATGGCTATCAGTAGAGATTAATTAAATAAATTACAGTACAGTCCTATGATAAAATGTTGCATGTTTACCAGTCCTAAAAATCTTGAACATAAACTGGTAAAAATATCATTAAATTAAAACACACACACACACACTCACACGCACTTCTGTTGTAAAATGAAATGCATCTATCTCAGGATGTGTAATTAAAGCCCCCCAAACAATACAGTGCAGGAAATACTTGTTAGACTGTAACAGAGTATTTGTACTTGTTAGTGTCATGATGTACTTACAGCAACCCTTAGATTCTCAATTCTCAAACACCTTCCTTATTACTAAGCTTAAATTCTGTGTTTAGAAATAGTGTGATAATATTTGGGACATAGAGTTTGGCCATTTTGTGTTTTGTATATCCATGCCTAACCAAAAAGACACTAGGAGAGCACTGGGGGTTTTCTAAAATGTCAAAACAGATAAAACAGAGACCTCAAAGGAAAACGGAGTGCTCTGTTGATGTAACTTTCTCTGCCTTTCAGGGAAGTTATTCCTGTTACTTGTATATGGTCCTGTTCTTTGGGATTTCCACTCAATTGATTTTGATGCCACCTCCTGGCTACTACAAAAACTTCAGCTTGTAGATGTGTTTTGAACATTGATACAGCACAGTTACCAAATTAGATGAAAACACCCATCCCTAGAGTGAGATTCAGTTAGAGAAACAGCTAAGATTAGAGGACAAAACTCTGCCATTTACGTTTTGCATCAATTTGGCATCTAGGTCCAGCAAGAAAACTTGTCTTCAGTTTACCGAAGAACCTCTCATAAAATAGCAAGGAGGTCTTACAAATTTGTTTGAACACACTACAAGGCCCGAAGTAACTTGATTTAATTTTTAAAAATCTATATCAATATATTTATATACTTATATAGATATAATATATGCATGTGAAAGTAAACTGAACATTAATGAAGAGCTTCTAAAGGCAATAAAAGCAATGGTCTGTCCTAGGACTCCTTAATGACAGTTTCATTCCACAGAGACCCCCTCTTCTCTCTCTGGTTCTCTTAGTAAGTTCAGGCTGCTAATACAGAATACCATAGACTGGGTGGCTTGTGAATGACAGGAATTCATTTCTTACAGTTCTAGGGACTGGAGGTCCAAGATCAGGGTGCCAGTGTG